ATTTTGATTTTTTTTTTTTAAAGAGTTTTAGAAGCAAACATAATCTTGTAGAAACTGAAAAACGAATTAAAAAAAAAGACATATTTATGCAGCAAAAGATGTCTGCACATTGAATAAAATCCCACGTTTGTAGTTTTATACCTAACGTGTAAAACATATATTTTTATAAGTACGAGTATTAGTATAAGTATATAACCATAGGCACTCTTTAGTATCGAAAACAAAATTCATTAACCAATCTGTTTCAAAGATGTCAAGTAAATAGCGGGCATAGTTATGTCTTCGTGATTTATATTGAAATTGAAAATGTGGTACGTTAGCCATCATCCATGTCAGACAAACACTTGAACATCGAATAGTACGATCCCTAGTAATTACCCCGGTTGAACAGCTCTCTGCTTGGCTTATGAATTCTACTTTCGTCTATAGAACGATCACAGAGCAAGGTGCTAGACTCACAAATATCTAAAGTGACCTGTGATTGTACAAAACATTTACGTAGTTCAAATCGATTATATGGAGTGCTGCTCACCCGTATTGAATGTTGACTGTTGATAATTGGAGCAAGATTTTCAGTATTAAACTTGCTCACAGTTATACTGTTCTGTCAAACGAAAAATTGTTATCAAACACAGAGTTGTTCAATCGATAAGTTGTTGAACTGAGTTAGGTTAGATTAGGTTCGGTTAGGTTGCAGTTCTACAAAATGTGCAAAACTATTTAAACTACGGTCTAAGATAATACCTTAAATATCTTAAACCATGCTCACGATTTTCGTAATCGTGTAGGTATGTTATTTAGGGTAAAAAGACAATTTATTGGTCCCCTCGAAAAGGACAATTGATCTGGTCGATTTTATATTGGTATCACAATATTGAATACGATAAAATAAGAAACAAATTTTGGTCTTATAGAAGAAATATGTATTTTCATATGTATCTACTACAAAAAATTACACCAAAAACTTTATTTAGCTATATTGACTACAATATAACATAGGTTATCATTAGAGCCCTGATTAATATGCATTTGCATGTTGTTTTTTTTTAACAGCCTAAAAAATAGTTAAATAAGCTACAAGTTTGAATTATAGTCAATTGATCCGAAATACAAAATTTTATTTTGCATATTTCATCATTTTTTGATGTAAACTGCATATGTCTGTATTTTACGATTTTTCATTGTATTATAGTCGAATACCTAAGTGTTTCAAACCCATTTGTTTACTATTGTTTGTTGGTTTTACCCACGTATACCTATAGTTGGTTCGTAAGGAGTTTGTTTTCTTATATTATCTAATCACTTTTAGATAAAGATAATTCGATCGGGATTAGTTGTTTTAATCATTTTTGTTTGCATATTTTAATGATAATCAGTGCATAAATGCATGCATATTTCCGGGCCCTAGCTACCATATTCCTAAGTAAGTATATTAATAATACAATACACAAAACTAAAGGCATCACTGATCTCTGAACTAGTCAACCTTAATCAACATTCAATGTATATTTGGTCACTCACTCGCCCATCCATTTTAGTCATCGGGCAATCGCCTCAAAAAACCCTATTTCGGCACACCACTGGTGAAGGCGGCTAGTTAAATAAGCCGACAGTGAAACGATTTCGAATTTAGCGGTTGGTAATAATTAATTTGGGCAGTCATTTGTCCTGATTTAAAAGTTATTAATTTTTAAAAAATGTTTATTTTAGTTGAAATCGTATCCATTTTTAGTTTCTTAACCTCGAACTAAAATCATAAAGTAATATAATTATTTCAAGTTAAAAACCATATTAAAAATGTAAAACCTTTATAAATAAATATAAGTAGAACAGGGGTAGTTTTATTTTCTCGTGCACGAAAAAAATTGTATCTTTTTTTAATAATTCTAATATAAACTTTTCAAAAGATAAACTTTTAAATTATTTTTACTATTTTGATTGTTAATTTTTTTTCAAATTATAATTTAAACTACATTATATTATAATATTTCATTTTTTATGTTTTGAAAATATTATAAGTATGAATATTTTCAAAAATGAAGGGTTTTGTAGGTATATTATGCTAGTATTCAAAAAATATGTATATTATTATTACATTGTCCGATCATCTTGTTAGTGAAACTTAGTGATACCTTAAATTAATTAATTATCTGTACATATAAACCCGGGGACCAATTGTCGTGTGGAAATTAGGACGGGGCCGATTGTGCGTATAGTAAATACGACGTTTTATCTGCGTTTTTATCACAGAGACCAATATTGTTTGAGAGCGCATTGTTCTACATTAGTTATTTACCTATTTGCACAATTTAATATAGTTCTATCCTTAATCGTGCTTATTAATTATTATTTACCTAACAACTAAAGTGGTTAATTCGCCTTTTTAATAACCATGAACTAAGATAATCTATTATCTTGTTTATGATAATAACTGAATCGCTGTGAGATAAATTTTAACATACAAGATAGTAAATTATCTATTATCAATTATCTTAGATAATTATACGTTCAATTTTTATATGAATACGTGACACATGACGAATCGCTATTCACTTTAGGTTTATTCATAATCCATGGGTAGTATTGTAATCTTGTAGTCTTGTTCAGTTTTTCAATTCAATAATAGACATTTAGTTTAGTTAATTCAATTTAGTTATTTTCTTAACCATTGAATACAACCGAGTTCTCATGACAAATAATATAATATATTTTCCCCAGGTTAAACACTAAATTAAAATGGGAAAAACAAGAAAAGAACATCCAGGTAATTTGTTTGTAATTTCAGTACATTGTACGAAAAACTTGTCTACATTTTACATCATTTCATACACTTTAATGCAGCTGTAGAAATAATTTATATTCATATTTGTAACTATATAAATTTATAAAACTACATAATGTACTTATCAAACAGTGACATACAAAATTATATAAAATATTATTTCACAAAATGGGTCATACTGCAATATGGAATTAAAAAGAAAAAAGCCAACTTTCATATTTTATTATACAACTAGATGACTGTACTCTAAAGCAAATCACGTTCCAAACATCTCTGTATAAAACTATCATATAAACGCAACAAAATATATGAACCAAGTAAAATATGTCGACTGACCAGCCACTGTTTTCCTAATTATATCTAAGTTAATTATAATTGTTAATGATTATTTTAACTAAAAATAGTTTACTAAAAGTGCAATCATATACCTGTACTTCTGTATATAAGTATCAAATACCCACTATTATAAAACTAAATATAATGATAACTGTTTATTTTAAATTCTTACATTTAATGTTCATATTTAAGTATTATAGTCAGTTAATACTTTCTTATTATCAAATAGGTAAACCTAGGTAATTAATTTTGAATTTATAAATATCAACTAAGTATTATTATATTTATTTAAGCATACTACATGGCTTACTAGTTTTTAGTTTTTTTTGTTTAACAGGATATGGATAATAGGCATGTATGATTTAAAAATTTATATAGAATTTTTTAATAATAATCATCTAAATGGCTTAACTACCTAACAAATTTCTAAATTTTTAAAATAAAATATTTGCAGAGAAAAGAGGCAGAAAAAGGAAGAAGGATGATTTTGATGAAAATTCTATGGGTTTGGATGATCCGGTTTTATTAGCTGTAAATGAAGAAGGTATGTTGTATATAATTTTAATATAAACTAATTATTATTGTAATCAATTGAAGTTGCTACATTGTGGCTATTAAAATATTGCATTTCATTCATTAATAAAAATATATTACATTAATTTTTATAGAGGGTTTACCTAGTGCAGCAAAAAAAACTGCAGAAACTGCTGCCGCTCAACATAGTGTAGAAGATGATTTTGGAGCTAAAGATTATAGATCACAAATGAACTTAAAAGCAGATCATGCTTCGCGACCATTGTGGGTCGCTCCTGATGGACATATATTTCTAGAATCATATTCACCTGTATACCATCACGCTCATGATTTCATGATTGCAATTGCTGAACCAGTTTGCAGACCAACTCATTTACATGAAGTAAATATTTATATTTAAACTAATATTTTNCTTAAAACGTTTAAGTAAAACTAGTATACCTGATGGAATAATAGAGTTTATAAATATTTGCACACTATCATATGGCAAAGTTAAACTAGTGTTAAAACATAATCGATACTTCATTGAGTCGCAACATCCAGAAATTTTACAGAAACTTCTTAAAGATTCAGTTATAGGTTCATGTCGTCTCAAAAGATTGGAAGATTCAGATGCCCTAATAACTGAACAAAAAAAAATTGAAACATCACATGTAAGATTTTAGTATTTGATTATTATGATTAGTTTGTACAATTTTTAATTAATAATGGTACCTATTTATTTTAAGTATTTAAAATAAAAATATAAATAAAAAATAACATTTTTTATTTTAAGTATTCTTACATTTAAAAATATTTATTTTATAAAGATTATATTCTACTGTAAGTTAAAATAGATAAACAGATGAACGGTATGGACATTCCACTCAAATATTACTATTTGCTTGTACCTTAGTTCTTTATCTAATAATATTAATAAGAAAAATCAACTAATAAGAATTGTTTAATTATATCAGCCTAGTGAGGAAGTGGAAACCTAATAAAAGCGTGGCATACTGCCATAAAACCTATTTAATTTTTAATGATTATTATTAAGGTTAGGGAAAAAATAAAAAAATAGCAGAGTCAAACCAAAATACTGTTTGTCATTTAAATCCTAAATTTTATTTTATATATATTAGAGGTTTTTCTTTTTAGACCATATTGTGGTATGTAGATTTTAAGTGCTATATAAGAGTATACATTCATATATCATTGTATGATAAATATTATACACACTTCTAACACACAACTAACCTAATCTTTTGATTTGCATTGTTTAAATTCATATGCACTGATGTGCGATAGCATAGACAAATGGACATTTGTAAAATAGCTAATTTAGTTAACAATCTTTAAGTTTGATCAATAAATCTCGAAAGTTTTTATGTAAATACCATTAATAATTAATAATAATAAATTAGTTGTATGTTAAGTTCAAACTTTCAATTAAAATAATCTTTTAGATCATTGTAAATATATGAAAATATTTTTTCATTGCTAAAATTGTATTTCCCACTATAGTTATTACACTTATTGTTCGGATATTGATTTACAGTTTCCTGGTGAATCTTCAGAAAAAAAAGAAGAATCTGTTAATGATGTAGTTCCTAAAGATATAACTGACTTATATGAAAAAATGGATAAAGTAGAAGAAGAAGAAGATGAAAAAACACAAAATCTCGTATCATTTGAAGTTCAACAAGAGAAAATCGAAATCATTCAAAAACGCTGTATAGAAATTGATACACCTCTATTGGTTGAATATGATTTTAAAAACGATAAAGTCAATAAAGATATTAAGTATGATAAAATACATTTAGTATTGGTCAAATTGAAGGTATTTTCATTTTTTTTTTTACAGCATTGATTTAAAACCTCATGCAACATTAAGACCTTATCAAGAAAAAAGCTTAAGAAAAATGTTTGGAAATAGTCGTGCAAGATCNGTATTTGTTAAAAAATGTATCATGTAAAAATAGTCACATACATAACATTTTACTAGTTAAATTTTGATTTTAGGTGCTGGAAAAAGTTTAGTAGGAGTAACAGCTTGTTGTACGGTCCGAAAACGTGCATTAGTCCTTTGCAATTCAGCAGTATCAGTAGAACAATGGAAATATCAATTTAAAATGTGGTCAACAGGTATTTATTTTCAGATTAAAATTTGTAGATAGTTCCTAAATAATAAGGTTTATTACTTAGCTGATGATAGCTTGGTATGCAGATTTACTTCTGACGTTAAGGACAAATTAATGGGCTGTGGTGTGTTCATTACAACCTATTCAATGATAACACATACACAAAAGAGATCTTGGGAAGCTGAACAAACAATGAAGTGGATTCAAGAACAAGAATGGGGTATTATGGTTCTGGATGGTAAGAAGTAATATTTAATAAATACTTTTACAATATTATGTACTTTTATTTTAATAATTTAGAAGTGCATACTATACCTGCTAAAATGTTCAGACGTGTATTGACAATGGTTCAATCACATTGCAAATTGGGTCTAACGGCCACACTATTACGTGAAGACGATAAAATTGCAGATTTAAACTTTTTAATTGGACCTAAACTATTTGAAGCTAACTGGTTAGAACTACAACAACGAGGTTACATAGCTAAAGTACAATGTTCAGAAGTATGGTGTCCTATGGCGCCAGAATTTTATCGTGAATATTTGGCATCTAGAACTTGTAAAAAATTGGTAATTATATAAGGTTAGACATCTTTAATCATAGACTATTTTATTGATTTTTTATTTTAAAGCTTTTTTCTGTGATGAATCCCAACAAATTCCGTGCTCTTCAATTTTTAATACGTTATCACGAAGAAAGAGGAGACAAAACTATTGTATTCTCTGATAATGTCTTTGCACTTCAATTATATTCTAAAAAATTGAATAAACCTTTTATTTATGGACCAACATCTCAGGTAATAAATTCTAATTCTAATCAGTTTTTTATTTATTACAAATTATTTTAAATAAAAACAGCAAGTACAATATTTTACCTAATAGTAAATTTATGTATATGGATATAAAAATATGTAGTATGTATTTATATTGTTTTTACTATAGGCAGAAAGAATACATATATTACAAAATTTTAAATTAAATACAAAAATAAATACAATATTTGTCAGTAAAGTTGCAGACACATCATTTGATTTGCCTGATGCTAATGTTTTAATTCAAATCTCTTCTCATGGTGGGAGTCGACGCCAAGAAGCTCAACGTTTAGGTCGTATTTTACGTGCTAAAAAGACCGCTGTTACTGATGAGTATAATGCATTCTTCTACACCTTAGTCTCACAAGACACAATGGAAATGAGTTATTCAAGAAAACGTCAGAGGTTTCTCATCGATCAAGGCTACAGTTATAAAGTTATTACAAAGCTTGCTGGAATGGATGAGGTAAATCACATCAAAAATTTAGATCTTTCAGTATATATATGTTCATTTTTTATCTATAGTGTATTCTCATTTCAGGATCCAGAGCTTTATTATTCTAGTCGTGAAGATCAAAACTCATTGTTAAATGAAGTTTTAAAAGCCAGTGAAGCAGATGCAGAGGAAGAACGAATGCCATATGAGGGCTCTACTAGGTCGTATAAGAAAATGACAGACAGATCGAGGTCTGGTGTTGATGATTCTAGATATTCTTCTGTTAAGCATCCATTATTTAGAAAGTTTAGAAAATAATTTGTTTGCAATGCACTGATATTAAGTTTATTAAACCTATATTTTTCAACTATTTTAATAAATTCTAAAATATAAAAGAATTATACAATTTTTGTTTCATTTTAAAAGTACTGAATTTGATATTATACTAGCTGCATTACCCAGCTCGCGTGCAGTTTACATATAGCTACATACTTGCTGTACATATTTAATCACCTATTAAATATAATATTATTTAAAACATTAAATAAAAACTGTCTGATTTAATGGCATATTACATAATTACGATATTTCCTACATCAAAGTGAAGAGAAAGAAATTATTTATTGCAAATATATCTGTAGAACATTTAATTATAAAAAACATTAACTATCTCACACAATATAATACCACAATAAAGTATATCTTATGTGTTAATCCACAACATATTTTATCCTATTATTGGATCCTGTTATTGATTCTGCCTTCTTTGGGAAAAATGCAAACAATTTGTGAAGTGGTTTAGCCTATAACTACCACAAAAAATTAAAAAAATGAATTAATGATATTTTTTTATGCTATAGATACCATAAATATTCACTCAGTACAACCCATATTTTTTTTGTTTTTTCATTTCATCTGTGTTACTAAGGTAATCCATAAAAATATAGAAATAATTTAATACCTAAAATCCTAATTTTGTGGATGGTTTTCAATAGGGGTGGGGAGTTTCTATTACTATAAACCTTCTCAATTTGGTTCAATTTGTGAAAAATTGTGTAAAAATTGGTCCAGTAGTTTTGGAGCCAACCTATAACAAAGATTTACATTTTTAATTTTGTATATTAAGATTAAATATAAGTGGCTATTTGCTATGTTACATATTACATATGGGCAAAATAATAATAATAAAGACAATTTATAGAGCCATAAGAATTATTTTCCATATTATCTGTACTCAAATTTCAATGTTGGATCAGTAACCTTGTTCTATTCCTGTATCAAATAAATTATAATTAAATACTTTAATAACACTGGAATTTCTACTTTAGTTATAAAGTAGTAATTTTCACTTTAGTGAAAATTATTAAAAATTATCCATGAAATAATACAGGACAAGACCGTGTCATGACTCCAGTCAACCGTAAATACAGACACGCCACCATGTATCCATGTTTGGCGTTAACGTGTAGTTTTCAGAAGTTAAAAAAACCTCCCAGACGAGATTGAGTAGATTGTAGTTGAGGATATGCAATAGATATATTTTCGGTGTCTACAGCATATGACTCGAGTTCCTACATTACTTATTTTATATATAAGTATAGATCTAATAAATAATAATAAAATAAAAAAAAAAAATTGAAAATTCGAAGTGTTTCAAGTTTTTTTGTGATAACTTCTTAAATGATTTTCGCAAAAAAATTCTAACCGTTTCAAATAAACTTCGAAATTCGTGGTAAAGTGCATTTCGTTTCGAAATTTGATAGGCGTACACAGTATAACACTAAAATTTGTATATTACAGTAATTTAATATTATAATTCTGGTAACACTATAATAAATTTATGTTTTCGACGCAAACAGAGCGTTCGGTGAAATGATAAGGACTTATTATCTTTGGCGATAACTGATGGGTAAATAAACGTTTTGGCGTTATATGTAAACAAGTATTATAATATTTGATTTTTGAATCAGAATCGAACATTTTTATACTATTTCCTGCAATAATTATTGAATATTGAATTAATATGTATATTTATTGTTTATGTTACAACTGGCAATGAATGTTTAATTTTTAAATCTACAACTTTCGAATAAAAAAAATAACCGAGCTATATGAATAGCATTGTTTATAATATGACTTCACTTTAAAATACTACATAAAAATGGGAAAAACAAGAAAAGAAAATCCAGGTAACTTTTATAAGTTAAGATACAGATTTATATTGTACTAAATACATTATAAAATTTGCCATTCAGATAATATAATAACAAACATGCAAGTAGTTAAATCTAAATACTTTTATCTGTAAATAAGCATATAGTGTATCATATTTAAGACAAATTATGCTTACTCTATAAAACAGTAATATTCCTTATTTATTCTTATGATAAGTGATATATTTGTTTCAAAAAATATATTGTGTTTATATTGAAGTAATTTGTATTAAACAAAATGTTGAATTTTATAAAAAGCAACAAACAGGGATTATTTTAGTGTACTATATAATATCATTACATTCATAATAATATAATAATAGATATGGCTAATCTATTATTTTATTTTGTCTTTTGGCTTTCCGTTTACTATACAATAAAATATTTTTAAAATTTCTGTATCCTATTATATAAACTTTTTAAACAGGATTGTAAAATATATTGGTTAACCAGCTACCATCTTCATATATCTAATTGTTTATAATTATTTTAATTATTTAACAAAGTTTACTAAGGTTTAAAATACTAAATTAGGTCTATGCATACATAAGTAGTATATGATTTCTAATAGATATTTAAAACTAAGGATATACGTAATTGGCTTTAAATACCTAAATTAAATATACATGATAAATTATTGTATTTCTTAATGTCAAAAAATATTTGATCTTATATTTCAAAAATAAACTTAGCTTATTGTTTCTGATTGTATAAATTAATTGTTCTGTGTAGTTTTAAAAATGTTTAAAATGTATGGATAATTCATTCTGTATTATTGAATTTAGACAAATTAATTTTTACATTTTAAAATATTTGCAGAGAAAAGAGGCAGAAAGAGGAAGAAGGATGATTTTGATGAAAATTCTATGGGTTTGGATGATCCAGTTTTATTAGCTGTAAATGAAGAAGGTATGTTGTCTATATTTGTATTTATAAACTAATTATTATTGTAATCAATTGAAGTTGTTACATTGTGGCTATTATAAATTAAATATTGCATTTCATTCATTAATAAAATACATTATAATATTTTTTTATAGAGGGTTTACCTAGTGCAGCAAAAAAAACTGCAGAAACTGCTGATGCTCAAAATTGTGTAGAAGATGATTTTGGAGCTAAAGATTATAGATCTCAAATGAACCTCAAAGCAGATCATGCTTCACGACCATTGTGGGTTGCTCCTGATGGACATATATTTCTAGAATCATATTCACCTGTATACCGTCATGCTCATGATTTTATGATTGCGATTGCTGAACCAGTTTGCAGGCCAATTCATTTACATGAAGTAAATAGATTTAATAATATTATTTTTTTTTTACACCATATCTACTTAATTCAATGTTATATTTATTTAATTTAATAAATACTTTTATTAAAACTAATATTTTTACCTGCCAACCTAATCTATTCAATGTTATATTTGTTTAATTTCAGTACAAACTTACTGCCTATTCATTGTATGCAGCTGTAAGTGTTGGATTGGAGACTAACGATATTATTGAATTCTTAAAACGTTTAAGTAAAACTAGTATACCTGATGGAATAATAGAGTTTATAAATATTTGCACACTATCATATGGCAAAGTTAAACTAGTGTTAAAACATAATCGATACTTCATTGAGTCACAACATCCAGATATGTTACAGAAACTTCTTAAAGATCCAATTATAGGTTCATGTCGCCTCAAAAGACTGGAAGATACAGATGCCCTAATAACTGAACAAAAAAAAATTGAAACATCACATGTAAGATTTTAGTATTTGAATGTTATGAAGAGTTTAATAAATGTACAATTTAAAAAAAAAAAAAAACTATCTATAAAAACACTATTGAACTATTAATTTTCAAATATTTAAACACAAAACTAATATTGCAAATCTTATTATAAAATTAATGAATTTTTCACATCATTGTTTATATAAGTTTATACAACTTTAAAATTGTATTTCCTACTGTAGTTATCACATTTATTATTCGGATATTGATTTCCAGTTTCCTGGTGAATCTTCAGAAAAAAAAGAAGAATCTGTTAATGATGTAGTTCCTAAAGATATAACAGACTTATATGAAAAAATTGATAAGGTAGAAGAAGAAGAAGATGAAAAAACACAAAATCTCGTATCATTTGAAGTTCAACAAGAGAAAATCGAAATCATTCAAAAACGCTGTATAGAAATTGATACACCTTTATTGGTTGAATACGATTTTAAAAATGATAAAATCAATAAAGATATTAAGTATGATAAAATACATTTAGTATTGGTCAAATTGAAGGTATTTTCATTTTTTTTTTTACAGCATTGATTTAAAACCTCATGCAACATTAAGACCTTATCAAGAAAAAAGCTTAAGAAAGATGTTTGGAAATAGTCGGGCAAGATCAGGAATAATTGTATTACCATGTGGTAAATAATTTGTAATTATCTGCATAATTATTAAGTATTTTATGCTTGTGATGTACAGCTAAATGTATTAAATCTTAAATTTTGAACATATGGTAAAATTCAGTTTATGTATTGGTGGTGTTCACTCTTGAACTTAATAACTTTTCCATTATTTTTAATTGATTTGTGCTTGCATAACAAAAAAAATAAAATTAAAGAAAAAAAAAATGTTTAGTAACCAGACATAATTATTGACTATTGTTGATTGATATTTTATTTTATTTTCCCAAACTATGTTCTCATTCAAATTATATAATAATTCAGAAAAAATAAATAAAACCTTATAAACAAATTATTAAACATACAAACTATATACCACTACATTCCACTTTAAAATAAATTCTGCAGTGCAATAATTATTATCTAGCTATGTATTAATTATATTTGTTTTATTTGATTAGATAGTTAAAACTAATAGTCTAGTATTTATTAGTTAAATTGTAATTTTAGGTGCTGGAAAAAGTTTAGTAGGAGTAACAGCTTGTTGTACGGTCCGAAAACGTGCATTAGTCCTTTGCAATTCAGCAGTATCAGTAGAACAATGGAAATATCAATTTAAAATGTGGTCAACAGGTATTTATTCAAATATTAAAACGTTTATTTATTTTCTATATTTCATGATTTGTTATAGCCGATGATAGTTTGGTATGTAGATTTACATCTGACGTTAAAGATAAATTAATGGGCTGTGGTGTGTTCATTACAACCTATTCAATGATAACACATACACAAAAGAGATCTTGGGAAGCTGAACAAACAATGAAGTGGATTCAAGAACAAGAATGGGGTATTATGGTTCTGGATGGTAAGAAGTAATATTTAATAAATACTTTTACAATATTATGTACTTTTATTTTAATAATTTAGAAGTGCATACTATACCAGCTAAAATGTTCAGACGTGTATTAACATTAGTTCAATCGCATTGCAAATTGGGTCTAACGGCCACGCTATTACGTGAAGACGATAAAATTGCAGATTTAAACTTTTTAATTGGACCTAAACTATTTGAAGCTAACTGGTTAGAACTACAACAACGAGGTTACATAGCTAAAGTACAATGTTCAGAAGTATGGTGTCCTATGGCGCCAGAATTTTATCGTGAATATTTGGCTACTAGAACCTGTAAAAAAATGGTAATTTAAAAAGGTTATAACAAAAAAAAATATACAATGATTATATATTTTTATAGCTTTTTTATGTGATGAATCCAAATAAATTTCGTGCTTGTCAATTTCTAATACGTTATCACGAAGAAAGAGGAGACAAAACTATTGTATTTTCTGATAATGTTTTTGCCCTTAAAGAATATGCTTTAAAATTGAGTAAACCTTTTATTTATGGACCAACATCTCAGGTAATCAATAATATAAATATTTAAATAAATAAGAAATTAAGAAAGATGATATACTTTTTTTATATTTTTGTCTTCTAAATGAAATTGTAATATTTTATATTTAGTCTGAAAGGATCCAAATTTTGCAAAATTTTAAATTGAATCCAAAAGTCAATACCATATTTGTCAGTAAAGTTGCAGACACATCCTTTGATTTACCAGATGCTAACGTTTTAATTCAAATCTCTTCTCATGGTGGGAGTCGACGTCAAGAAGCTCAACGCTTAGGCCGTATTTTACGAGCTAAAAAGACTGCAATCGCTGAAGAATATAATGCATTCTTCTACACCTTAGTCTCACAAGACACAATGGAAATGAGTTTTTCAAGAAAACGTCAGAGATTCCTTATTGACCAAGGATATAGTTACAAAGTAGTTACCAAACTTGCTGGAATGGATGAGGTTGTACAATCAAAATTTAAAAACATCTTAATACCTTACATTTTTATGTTTTTATTTTTTATCACAGGATTCGACGTTATTTTATTCCAGTAGAGAAGATCAAGGTTTATTATTAAGTAGAATCTTAGCAGCTAATGATACAGATGCAGATGAAGAACGAATGCCATATGAGGGGACATCCAAGTCTTACAAAAAAATTTCTGGTAAAATGAGTTCTATGTCAGGTGCTGATGATGCAGTTTATGCAGAGTTTAGAAGAAATTCTGGTGTTAAACATCCATTGTTTAAAAAGTTCAGACATTAATATTTTTAATCATATATTCATACAATAATTTAAATAAAAATATAACTATGCTTATATTATTATAATACTTAAATTAAATATTTCTTCTTCAGTTCTCAGAAGTATTATATTTTATCTAAATCTTATATTTAATCTCATTAAATTTTTCTTACCGTTTTTCATTTCATTTTTTTGAAGATATTATTGTAATAAATTCTATAACACAAAATAATTTCAATTTTTTTTTTCAGTTTAAAGTTTAAAAAAATAATATTTACCCTTATAATCAATTTTTTTATCGCCATTTAGATCTGCTTCTTTTATCATATCTTCAATTTCTTCATCAGTGAGTCTTTCTCCAATACTACACATTACACGTTTAAGTTCATCAAATGTTATGAACCCATCTCCATTTTTGTCAAATACATTGAATGCATGGTGCATTTCTTCTTCGCCATCTATAGCTTTTAGCTTTCTAGCCATCATCAACAGAAATTCATCAAACTCAATACTACCATTACCATCTTGATCTACTTCTTTAACCATACCTCTTAAATCAGTTTCTAAAGCATATATAATGCATTTGATTATTAATTTTTGTTTTTTTAAATATTTGGTTATTTAAAAGTTATTTAAACTGAAATAATCAACCTAATGTAACACTTTTTATGAGAAAAAAATTTCAAAAGTTTGAGAACTTACAGAGATATTTGAAGGATTAATGGTCTTCCAGTGTTTTTATAGTTATATTGTTTCAAAACTATGTATAATATAATAAAGAAAAAAAAAAAACTTAGTAGATACATCCTAATTCTATTATGACACAATTATATAGAACTCGTTTAGTGCAAAATCAATAAATGTTAAATAAATTGTGTCCAATTGTTTCATAAATATTTATGAAACTGAAATTTTTATTAAAATGACTACTATTTATTATGTTTTAATTAACTGTTAAAACCATTTAAATAGTTCATAATATGAACTTCTATGTGCAATGTGACAGGTATGTAATTTTTTTTTTTTTTATCTTTAGTTGTGTAATTCACTAACTCCTAAAATTCAATCGCATTTATACTATGTTAATTAAGATAATAAAAATTTACCAGTAGGTCTTTGACCTAATGATCTCATAACTACTCCTAGTTCTGCCTCAGTAATCCGTCCATCCTGATCTTTGTCAAACAACATAAATGCTTCTTTAAATTCTATAAAAATTTAAATTATTATTGTTAGGTAAGTGTAGTTACATAAGGAAATTATAAAAAATACTTTTGTATTATTATTTCAAATCATTAATTTATGAGTGAAATATAATTTAACCAGTAATTAATTTGATATTGCTAAAATAAAATAATATTCATTTAAATTTGAATTGTTAGCTAATAAAATACCAAGTAAATTTTAATTTTAGTGAATGCATAATTAAAAAAAAACTGCCTTATAAAATAGTCATTACACAAAACATATTCTAATATACTATAAGTAAAATACTGAAATGAGAATAAAACTGTGAATTTAAGAAAATAATTACATCTCTATAATATCAAAATAATCAAACAATATATTTTATAAAATGAACACAAATTATAAAATATAGTAATGAAGACCTTATGGACAAATATTAACAATATAAAAGTATGTTGGATATTATATAAGTTGCAGAAAAATGTACACCTTAAAAGGACGTCTGCATGAACATAAAAATATGTTGAAAATTGTTTTATCTCGAAATTGGTATAATGAAGTATAAAACAGTTTTTAATAAGAACTGAAGAGCACAAGTTTATCTAAGGAATAATCCATTTTGTTAAATGTGAACTAATTTATACAAAATATTACAAAAAAATACTGAATTACTGAAAAATATTACAGCTTTTTAATAGCTTTTTATGGCTAATTTTGAATATCTACTAACACATTCAAGTAAATTGAAAATCAATATATATATATATATATTATACCAATGATGTATTTTATTTTTATAATTATCAAAATCACTTTGAAAGGTACTTTTTTCTGTTTAATATGTTTTTGAACAAATTTCATGATCACCAAATAAACACATATGATAATGTCATGGTGCCATTTCAAAATAAATACATTTTCAATTTTTTCAGAAATTTCATTAAAATTGCCTTTAAATCATGGTATCAATAAATTTGAAAATTACCAGCTACTTGGTCTTGCGTTAATCCAAATTCATTCTGAAATAAAATCATTACTTTTGAATTGAACAAAAAAAAAAAAATATAATATATTCAAAAAAAATAGATTATGTTCTTACTGACTGAGTCCTTATATCGTATCTACTGGTTAATTTTCTTATTCTTGAGTATTCTTGTGTATAATGGTCACTCTGATCTCCCTTATTTGTACTCATTGTAGTATAAACAATTTTTAATTGATTTTATTTTCTATAGTTTTATAATTTAAGACATTTAAGTATTAAACATATTTTTTAGATACAATGCTCGCATCATCATTATATAAAAGTAAGTAATCCCTACTAATAAATTCTGTGTGAAATAAAATAATAAAATTGGCGCTGTTAGCTTCAGAAAGTTGATTATGTTTATTATTTTTGTTATTAATATATATAAATACTAACTCCCACTTTTTTTTTCATTTGTAAATATAAGCTATTTTATTTTTAGATAGTATAATATATGTAAAATCATACTAATTTCAAGTTAGATAATGCATAAAAACACACATTTTAACTTTTTTTTTTTATATTGTTTTATAAAAAAGTATATAATTTTTATTTTTACGAAGTATCTTGTTTTTTTTATCCAGACTATAATATAATATAAGGAAATATTATTCCTTTTATTTTCTTTGGAAACTTATAACATACTCATTATTATTCTATATAAGTAATAATTTTACAGTATTTACACTTAATAGTTAACAAATAGCAACAGGATAATATTTTATAAGGAAATTTTTGTACCAATGTACCAATGTTAATCTATTATTATTTATTTAGTCTATAGTTTAAATATATTGTTTGGAAGAAAATATTTATAATCTAAATATAAACCTATAAGAAATGTAGGTGTACCCCTCTCTTTTTTCTTTTCATCTAAACTTTAAATTATTATAATTAATTAACTGTGTCGGTCTAAAATTGCAGTATATATTTACTTATGTTGAATTATGTATAAAATGATTCATCAGTCATATGGCGGAGATTATTTCTGTAGATTTTTTTCAAAAACTATTATGCATTCTATATTTCAATAATTTCAATATTAATGGATAATTAATTTAGATTTGTTGACTTGGTTATGATACAAATTTCGGGCAGTTTAAATCTTATTTCTCAAATTATAATTTAAAGGTACCTACACCTTAAATCTTTAAATTTTCAATAGCATTCAATTTTAATTTTTTTTACAACAGAAAAATAAACTACAATATACATTTAGGGACTTATAGTATTCAATTTCAAGTTTAAAACTGAAGAACAGGAAAGGTATTTTAATATATTGACTAATTATCCGCTGTAGCGATTCAATTAAAAATTGTTTTTCTTTTGGTTTAAGAATATAGTAGGTAGTACTTTTATTATTTGGAAACAAAATAATATAACAAAAACGAATATTTGTTAAACTATATTCTAAAAGGCTACTTTTATCCCCAGAACATTTTTACATTTTTTACATTTTTTTCTTTGAAAGAACCATTAGACCTTATACTCATAATCCAGACCCATTACGGTGGTGTAGTCATGAGAAGTAGAATCGAACCGTGAACTCATTTGTTTAGTGTCAGGCAATATGTCCGAATAAAGGGACAAATTAAGTTTATAATCCACCTTCCACATATTATATCGATAGGATAAATGTATACCTATGTCTTATATGTCCTATACATACAGTGTCTCACGAAGATATATCCATTGTAATATCTCTGGAGATACTTGATAAAGATAATCAAATTATGTTTTTTTTTTTTTTATACTGCACACAGGAATAATGATTACAAATATGTATTTATATTTAAATTTATTTTTTTGTTTCGTTAAAAAACTTTAATTTATTATTTTCGGCACATTTAAAGATAGCCATTTTATAGTTTAGTTCTTCTAAAAACTTTGACGTTTCAACTTTATTTTCATTAAGTTCGTGATTTTTATAATTTTTCAAAGCTCAGAGTAAGTAAGTTAAAAGCGAGCTGTAATTGCATTCGCTAATTGATTATTATTATTATTATTATTATTATTATTATGACTAATTGACTGTACTTTACCTATTCTTTTTTTGAATTTTAGAATTAATTGTGCATTAGTTAATTATCAATCTATCTACACTACATTACACAATGTTGTGTTGTAGGTGATACCTATGTATAGGTATTTCAAAATTTCAATTTTTAATAAAATCAGTTACAAAGAAGAAAACTTCAGGCTATTAATGGCTTGGAGTTGGTGCTAAAAATGGACGACAATGAATAATAATAATAATAGGTATCGAATTATTATCCAAATAAGTTATGCGAATAATCGGTATTTAATCGTTAACCTAATTCATTACTAGAATAGATTATTATAATTATTATTCAAATGAACAAATATTAATCGAATTTCGAATAATACCCTGCTGGATTTATCTGAAAACGGTCCACAATTAAAGTAGGTATAAGGTTAGGTGGGGTAAGTGTGACTACTAAAATATATTTAGACGTAATATAATTCATAATTATACACTAGAAGGCATTAAATCGATGCGTCATATTTTCCCCTTGGAGCTGTTAAAATTTGTGTGTTTATCTCGCATAAAGTGGTGTGGTAAAACTTACTTGTAAAAATTTGGTAACGTTTTGTACTTCGTCAAATACATTTAATTTAATCCTATTTGAGTGAACCAAATGAGTAATTTCATTAAATATATTCAGATATTCTATATTTTAACAATTTAATAATTAAATAACATCATTTTATATTATATTTTGTTTAATTAAGTACGATTTCAATCCTGTCCCTTCATTAAGTGTATTGGGGCAAGTGTGTTTAATTGATGTGGGGAGAGTATGAGCTGAGAATCATACAGAGCCTGTATGATTATATATTTATATTATAGGCTTTAGATATTAAATCTGAAAAACTAAAATTAAAATATTTTAAAAAGTTCATAAATCTTGGAACTAGTGGTTCAATTTTTTTTCATATTTGTACCAAATAAACGTGTAGATTATTTATCTTGCCCCAAATAATGGGGAGTGTGACCTTAGAGATTTTTTTTTTTCTTTTAATTTATGCTAATCAGTTAAATTGTAATTTATTAGATCTTTTAAATGTGAATTTGTGTGTTCTGGAAGTTTTTACATAATGTCTGATAATCAATAAGACCGTGTTTTTAAATCACACATACCCATAGAGTTAGCCATAACTCTATGGCTTCAACTCATGCTACAGGCGAGATGCAGAATGGCCTCTCTACGTAAATCTATGCGCCTACTTCACTTTACTTCACCTATTCGATTATTTTATAAAATTCACAAATGAATACAAATTGTTAATAATAATTTACGAAAACACGAATAAGTTATTCGAAAGTACAGATTATTTATTATCGCTCGGCGCCTATCGCTACTTGGTTGATAGTGCGCATGCGCGTAGTGCTTTGGTGCTTTGTTACCAGTGCACCTTGGTACTTAGTGAGACGCCGTCTGCCGTGTACGCTGTATAGAATGTAGCACAGAATAGATTAATTTACTTATTAATTAATCTAGATTAATCCATTATGTGGTATAAGGTCTATGAAAAAAACACTACCAATTTGTTTCACAACAAATTTCGGGTTACAACATTTTTGTAACATAACCATAAAAAAGGCACGTTATCGTCTGTCTTGATATGCAGCAATGCAACTCTCACTTCCCCGCGACATTAGATATCATAATATGCCCCATATTAAATCTTCAGGTCGTGCTCTTCCCAAAAAAAGAATGCGATCTGTCATGGAGTCAATATAAACAGTATAGGTAATTTTTTTTTCTATACTATCCTATCTACATTTTATTATCTAATGTCTATGAAAATGAACAAATAATTTGTCTTGAATTTGTTCACTATTCAAAAAAGCTTAGTGGAAACAAATTGTATCGATTGTATACGTGCGAGCGGCTAACCACCTACGTGGTAACTGGTAACTGTTTACAATAAAATATTATTTTCAGTATTTTCACAGTATGCAATATTAATTATTAATTATCTTACTGTTTCCTGGCTGATAGACTTCAACATACATGAAATTATTTAATTGTGTTATTTTGAATAAGAATTTCTTTTGAAATTGTTCTTAGGGACTGGCCAATTATTTTAAATTTATACTATATTATATAACCATAATTAAGTCATATAATATATTTATACATATATTTTTTTTTAAACTTAAAAGTACCTGTACTAAATGTTATCCATCCGTTATTTTTTAAAAACCTTATTGCCCTTAAATTCAGGTATTTAATTATTACCTACTTATAGGTATTAATACTTATTTAATATGAATTAAGATACATTCACACTGTTGGGATATACGGTACGATGATAGTAATTATAAAATTTGCTCACGGTTTTATTTAACACTATTTTATTATTGTCATACTATTTATCACAGCAGCATTGAATGTGAATACCTTACAATTGTATAATTATTTAATTTAATAAAAATTTTAATTTTATAGTCTGTAATAGGTCATATTGTACAGCAACTCTAATCTTAAGCCGCACAATGGTATCTGACCCAATCATAACTAAAAAACATCAAATTCCTGAGGATGATGAGAATGTTATTTCTAAAAGGCAATGTGTAGAACCTAGAATTAAAAGGAAAAAATGTGCTTTATTATTGGCATACTCTGGACTAGGATACTTTGGCTTACAAAGGTAAATATTTTACATTGGATTAATTATTCAATATATATCAATATTTCTTGTAGAAATAAGGGGACAAACACAGTTGAAGAAGAACTGTTAAAAGCATTAAAATCTAATAACTTAATTACTGATGAAGGTTTTGAACAGATTCAAACAGTGCATTTTCAGCGAGCTGCTAGAACTGACAAAGGAGTATCTGCACTTCGACAAATAATTTCACTTTTATTACGTAAGTTGTTTTCAATTAAATATTGGTAATTTATATATAGAAATAAATAAATTAATGCATCTTATGATACGAACAAATATATGAAGAAATACACAGACCAAAAATTATACAAATTGATCATTATTTTACATAGAAATATTTATTTAAAATGAGTTATCAATAGACATAGGTGTAGATATGTTACAGACATATTATTTTAATATTTCATACTATAATAGATAACAACAGTATTTGGAAGTTGTATTTTATTTTTTATTTAATACGTTTATGAATTTTTTTAATAGTATTTAAATTGAAATTGTTGTTTTTATAGGCTATATTATAGATAATATTGAGCTCGTGTTGATAATTATGTTTATTTAATGGAATGCTTTAAAATCCTGTAGAATGTTAAATTAAGAAATAGTATTTTTTGAGAATAAAGATAATTAGAATCATGTAGTATTATAGCATTAGTTTCAGCAGGTTTCCTGTAAACATGAGCTCAATATTATCTTTAATATAGTTCATAAAAATAATTTAAATTTAAAAACTATTAAAAAAATTAAAGAATTAAAGAAAAAATAAAACTCAACTCGCCAAATAATGTTGTTAACTATTGTACTATGAAGTATCAAAAATATATTTTGTTTTCTTATAGAATTTGCTAAAATTCTGAACAATATTACAAATAATGTAAAACACTAATAATAATTTAATCAAACATAAACAATAGTACAAAAAACTTCACCAAAAATTCCCCCTCTTTTGAAAATGTTGGTATACATAAACATAAATGTAACTGTAATAAATTGTATATAGTTAAAACAATAAGCAATTTTAAAATAATATATAAAGATCACATTTCTGAAATAAAATTTAAAAATACTGTCCCTAATTCAAATTTTACTAAACATGATGTTTTATAAAATAACCATAATATAAGTTTTTATATGAATATAAACTTAAAAATATTAAATAGCCAAAATAACATTTATATTAATTCAGTTTTAAAAGAACTACACATACATAATGAATAAAGAAAAATATTTTAAATTTACAAACCGATTTTTAAAAATAATGTAATATATTAATACATTTTAGATAATATATAATAACCAAATAATTTATATTTCTTATCATATTTATTTCCAATAATAACTCATTTTTAATAATCTCTCTAAATTAAATTATTTCTATGTAAAATGACCAATTTGTATAATTTTTCCTCTGTGTATTCCTTCATTTATTTTTTTGTATTCAGTGACATTTTACTTTTCGACTTTGTGATTTACCTGATGAATTTTTCAATTGAAACCGGTCGTATAATATGCATATCTTACTACTCCAAATAACACATTAATTTATTTATTTCTATATATTAATTATTTATTTATATATTTATTTACGCATATTAACCATTTAATAATTTTGTTTTTACTTTTATTATTTTATTTAATATAGGTATTGATAAACTGGTCACTTAATTAATGTATTCTAATAAGTACTTAGGTACCCAATCAAAATAAGTATTTTCTTTTAATTTAACAATTGTTTTCAATAGAAGTTTATTTAAATATATTATTTTTTTCAAATTGCATGGTTTTAAATATTGATTCTGATGTTCTTTTTAAAAACAGCTGCTTGTAGTTACTTTTTTAATTAAAATTAAAATAACCTTAGGAAAAATGATGAAATTTGTAATTTTTCCAAAAGTGCTTGTAATTTTTTTTATGGTTTGTTCCGAAAAGTAATAACTTCAAAAATTTGTTTTTAAAATATTTTAGAAACCAGTATCTCAACAATTTTACATTTCTTTTAATTAATTTTTTATTTTTCCTGTCACTCTTATTTTAGGGGGTGTAACTACTACTTGCTCTTGATTTTCAAATAGCAACCTATATTGAAAATTCATAAATAGATGAAAATTGTATTTAAATAAATTTTGGTGTTGGAATTATTATTTTTTGTCAATCCATTGATGAAATATTCCGCTTTTAATTTTGGATAAGAGAAGAATAGTTGAAATTAAAAATGTTAACACCAAAATTTATTGTAACTTAAATTTTACCTATTTTTGATATAGATTAATATTTAAAAATTAAGTCATTACCCCAAAAAATAACAGTATTTATTATTAACATTTTTGAGTTATTTGTTTCTTAAAATTTATAAAACACAAATTCTGGAAAATGTTCATACTTTCTGATATAATGATTGTCTTACTTTAAGTTTATCAGCCTGTGTATAGTTAAATAATTAGTTATATACCTAGAATGTATTAATTTTTTTACATAAGCAACTTATAAGACGAACATTAATGTGTGAATATGTTAAACTTTTTAAGAATGATTTATATTGTTAAACATTTTTATTTTGAAATAATGTTTCATTTAATATATTCCTGATTTGTGAATAACTTTTGATATTGAATTTGATTTATTAATTACTTGTATTTTATTGACTATTTTAGCTGAAGAAGTAAATAAAGATGTAATTAATTCTGCTTTACCTGAGCAGATTAGAGTACTGGATATCAGAAGAGTAACCAAAGGTTTTAACAGTAAAAATTCATGTGATGGACGAACATATTCATATACTTGTCCAACATTTGCTTTTGCTCCATCGGAAACTCCTATTGACTTCAACTATCGCATTGATTCTACTGTTATTGATAGAATAAATGAAGTTATAAAGAGTTTCTTAGGGTGTCACAACTATCACAATTACACTTCTAAGAAGTAAGTTTTAATAGTAATAAATAAATAATATTTTGAGTGATTGGTTCAAACATTTATATCAGAAATTATAAATTTGACTTGGAAAATGTTGATATTTAGAAAACCGGGTGATCCAAGTGCATATAGGTACATGGTCAGTTTTCACTGTGATAAACCATTTGAACAAGATGGAGTTGAATTAATATCATTATATGTTAGAGGTAATATTTATAGTACTATTTTTTGTTAAATATATTTTTTTTTATTTTTATTTTTCTCAGGACAAAGTTTTATGCTTCATCAGATTCGTAAAATGGTTGGTGTTATTATTGCTATTTGTCGAGGTGTAGCTAAACATGATGTGATAGAACGATCATGGAATCATGATCGTCTTGATTTACCTATTGCTCCAGGTTTAGGCTTGGTTTTAGAAGAAGTTCATTATGATAAGTACAATGCAAAATTTGGTAACGATGGTATGCATGAGCGTTTAGATTTCATTGAGCTCAATGATCAAGTAGCTGCCTTCAGAGTTAAATATATATTGCCTACCATAATCAAAGTAGAAAAAGAAGAAAGCTCGTATCCTTTAAAAGAAATAGTTTAAAACATTAAATTTAAGTATTTTTTAAAATTTACAATATATCATACAGTTAATACTTATCTAATATTATACATACTATTTTCATAAAAATTAATGTATAATGTACAGTCATATCTATGGCACGTAGTGGTCTTAAATTTTGGACAAAGGTGGATAGGTAGGAAAAAGACAAGATCTCAACCTTTTAAATGTTCGACTTGAATTTTTTTTTTCCGTTTATTATACAATTAATAAAAATATTTTATGGTTACCTGTATGATGGAACTTTATTTTATTTAATCATACTTGATAAATAATAAATATACCTTAGTTCTGAATTACTAGTATGCAGTTATGGCTTGAACAACTACCATTACATACTTTTGAAGTACGTACAGAATACCGTCATGTGCGAACAGATGTTAATGATACAAATACTCCAGAATTAACAACATTACAGGCAGCTGCTGAATTAGTAAAAAAAGAAGAACAAACGGTTACAGATTCAAATAGAGAAATTAAGCATGATAATCTTTCAACATTTGCAGGAGCTGCTCAAGCAATCGAATCGGAAAAAAATTAATTTTTAAGTTTACAGATAAAATAATAACTATTATTATGTAGATTTCAATATTGTTTGTATTTAAATTAAAGAAAACAAAGTCTATCTGTAATTTTACAATATTTAAATAGTTTTAAAGAATACCATTCATAAATCATATTTTAATAAAAATGTTATTGACTTTGGGTATTGCCTAATGATAATTGAAATAATAATGTACTGTAATTGTGAAATGTATTTATAAAATTATACTCGGTGATAGATGTTTTGATGACATCCTTTAATTTTTGAATTAAATATTTGTAGTGCTTTTATAGTGAATGAAATCTATTCCATATACCATTTATATTATCTTCAAAATGTATACTATTATTATTTTAAGAATATTAATTGTTCATCAATTTCAATTGGCGAAATTAAATTAATTTTATCCAAATCAATGAATATGAACAGTTAATTAAATTATAATATAATATATGTATGATTCAAAATTGTGATATCTGAAATTAGGGGTGCTTTTGAAATTTTTTCTGGTGGGAGGGGATAACTAAAAATACATTTAACACACAAAAAATATTTACCCAATAAGTATTAATAGTATTAATTTTAATTAACAACATGAACCTATGTTTTAATCAGCAAGAAAGTTTAAGTAGAATTTAAAATTTTATAACAAATATACTTTTTGTAGTCTAAACCTATAATTGTTTTCTTGTATTATTTAAGTATTAATATTTTATAAAAAAGAAAAAAAGATCAAATAACATAATACATTTAAAAGTATTTAAATTATTTTTTTTTTGCCATATTTATATTTTAAATGTTTTAAGAAATATTCATTGCTTGAGAGATTAAATATGGGTATATTGTTTAGTTAATTTTATTTAATTTGGTTCTTTTTAAAATATCACACTGCATAATTTGTACTTAAATACAATTTTAAGTCTTATATGAAAATGTGATTAATAATTTTTTAATATTAAAGTATGTAGATAATAATTGAAGATGTTAGTTTTAAATCTAAACATTTTGAAAATTGTGTTTGTTAATTTTATAATGATACAAATTGATTATAGTATAATTTATTCCATAATCAATATAATTCTTAACAATTTATTAATTATTAGTAATAACACTTTCAAATTGTAATTAATTAAATTGATAAAACACTCACTATAGGAATTATAGGATTCCATTTAGTTTTATTATTTATTATTTAAAACGTCATAAAATTACTTAAAAAATAAGAACAAAGTGAAATGTGTTTACTAATTATTTATTTATTTTTATCTACTGTAAATAATGTATGTGTGTATCTTCTTTGAACCTATACTAATATATACATATATATATAAACCATTATAATTTATAAATTAAATTATTTAAACTTATAGCCGTTGAGCTTCAAATTCAAATTATTCATTTTATCGCTCCAAAAAAACAATTAAAGCCAACTATTCTCACTGAATGGTTGTATAATGTATACTTACATTTTTAAATAAAAATTTACTTACTAGGTGTCAAGATTTTTGATCAAAGTTACAAACCATTATATTGAATAATTAAAAATAATTGAGTCAGAATTAATGACATACATACAGTATGACTTATCAGTATAACAATATCTTATCAAAAAAAAATTGAGGATTAATATGCACGTGAAACAAAATGGTTTTGTCTACAGTAGAACTCCAGTGTACTTATCTAATTCAAACATCACAATTTGTAAATATACTGAAAGTTACAATAATAATCCACAGTTAACAAATGAAGATTATCAAAAACTACATTAATGGTTTACTAATTATTCATCCTTTTTATTAGGGTTTTTTTCGGCTTTTAAGACCGTCCTGAAAAATACATTTTCCTCCATCTTTCTGTCTTCTGTTACCTCCTTCCATTTGGTTCTTGGGTCTAATGCTTTAACGTCTTCACACAGACTACATGTCTAAGGTGCGGTGTGCTTAGCAGTCTTTCCTATCGGATCCTGCTTAATCACTGAACCATTATTCTGCCAAGCCAAGCCTATGTTAGCCTTCTTTTTGTGACTTCTCTTGATATACATGGTGTTTGGAATAAATTTTGAACCTTCTCATTATTCCATATTCTCCACTTTACGGTTAGTGGATCATAATATGGACCACAAATACACCTTAGTACTTTTCTTTCAAATATTTCTAGTTTTGTTCCTATATCTTTCTTAGTGCCTAAGTTTCTGAGCCAAATAGAATGATAGGTTGTAATCATAAACGTTTTAATTTTCGAGCTTTTAGAGATGATCTGGATTTTATAAGGGTTCCAGTTCTAAAGAGATAAAGAATATCAACAAGAATATTTAGAAGCTATGTGTTTGAAATAATGTTTAGGATCAATAATACAAGACAATGACTTGTAGATGGAAACAAACACTAATTTTGGAAAATGCATATTAATAAAACCTAGTTAGCATGAAAAGGATTACAAATTATACATTAGTCTGATACAAGCTATAGTTTTTTGTGGACCTGAAAGAGGTTGAAGTATTTAAGTAATAAATTCAATAACTAATAGACTATGTATAGACTGGAGAAAACACGAGATAATAAAAAACGTATTTCAATGACCAGATAATGTTATAACAGCAATTAGGAAGAGAAGATTAATATGGGCTGAAAATGCTCAAAGAAAAAAGGACTCACTTACTAAGATGGTTAAGTTTATGGAAGGTCCTAATAAAAAAAAAGGGATTAAGTAGATCATATTTAAGGTGGAAAGATAGTGAAAAATAGTGGAATCAAATAGGCAATGGAAAGTGATAAAAGATAAGGAAAGACGGAGAAAGGGGGAATAAATTTGAAATTTAGTCTTTAAGACATAACCTACAAAAAGGGTTAAATATATTAAAAAATTTACAATTTTATTAATTAACACAATAGTATTTGACAACTATATTCAATATATGACCAATTTAAATTTAAGATGTTTATAATAAATGGCTAATTAAAATAATTATGTAAATTTTTAAACTAGTTTTATCTACACAAGACAATAAAATATAAATAAATACAAATTATAATTTATAATAATAATAACAAAAAACAAAAATATATGAAGACATTTAATACAACAAACAAACAATTTAACAAAACAAAATTCAGTCTCGCCAATAACTTTAGGAATAAGTATCACAAAATATTAGTAAATATGAGACAATTGTTTAAAAATTGAAAACAACATACTGTATATTAGCATACAAAAATAGGAAATATAATAGAATAATTTATCACAACTGTAAAAATGTTTTAAAACGCTAGCCGTTTTGATGAAATTATACTAGGCATATCTATATGCGTTCTTTTTTTTCTAGTTCCCATGATAATTGGAGATCGAAAAACTGGAGAAGAACTTTGATACCCTTCATCTACTGGTGGAACATATTTCCTGTGCTGCATTACATTTCTTCTGTAAAAAAATATTATAATTAATTAATACAATAAGAACCCGATATTAAATTAAAATAAAATATGGGTTGAAAACCAAGAAAATAACAACAAAATATATTGCTGTCTGTGACAATTGTAACATTTATTGTATTAAATAAACAAAATTTAGCAATTGGCTGTCAAGAGAAAAATAACCATTTTTATAAAAAAATTAAGTCAAATAAAAAAAAACCATCAATATAACTCAAAACTAAAAGTAAATATGACTTTAAAACAAAACATAAAGCAAATAATATAATATAATCGATTTTTAGTTATAGTTTTAGCTATTCATGTGTAATATGTTCACTAAAATCGTACACGTGTTTCAAACAAAAAAATTCACTACTTAATAATGTAATTTAAAAATATCTAAAAATAATACCCTAATAGAGAACAACATTGCACGAGATCTTTTTTTAAGTATCCTGTCACTTTGCGTAATTTCACAGTCCAACAAGGTGCCAATCTTAATGTATGCCTAGTAGTTAAGATAATACTCGCTGCTATCATTGATGGATTGTAGGATATTAATTTTAAGCCTGAAACAAAAACATCAAATAAATTCAACATAATGTGAATAGACATACGTTAGGAAAAATCTAAGACATCAAAAAATAAAAGAAATACAAAAAGTTACTAGATATACTATTATATTCAATTCTATCATACATTTTCCAGACAAAAATTTAAATTATTATCTATACTAAAATAAATTGTCCAAAGCCAAATAAATCCAAACATATGTAACTTAAAGGCTACCAATGCTATGATATAAATAATAATTACATTAATGATAGAGATAATTTGATTAATCAATAAAAGAATTTTTAAGATAGGTACTTAACCTACTAAAACAAATTTTTTTTAAAAATATTACAAAATGAGTTTCATTAGTTCTAGTTGCAACAAAATTAACATACGTATACTTCTACAAATTATGAATGCATCCAAAAGCACAATATTCAATGAATAAAAATAGATAATCAAAATGTATTAATAATTATACTCACTTTCCAATGATACATCTTGATAAAACAATATCATACTGTCAAACTGGTCTTTCAAACGGCGTGCAGCTCCACAGTCGGAAAAATCTTTGTCATGGTAACAATGTTCTTTATATAATTCGATAAAATGTGCGACCGTGGGTACTGCGACACTGCAGTTGAAAAACATTAAAATTTTCATTTCTACTTTCCGTAATAAGGAATTTGTAACATCTCTACTAATAACATTACGCATACTGTTCAACTTTGGTATAATAAAACAATGTTCTTCAATTTTTGCTGTTGAAATACATTATAGAATTAGTGTGGATATTTATTTAGGATTTGATAGGGCTAACAAAAAATAATACTTACCAGCTAATGTTAAACATGCAAACATCACTAGCATTATTGTATCAAATTTTAGATCATGATTGTCCATAAAGAAATCCAACAATAAAACAGCTAGATGAACACATGCATTTGACATTTCATATTTCTTTGATAAAGATCTAATCGTTTTTAATAAAACGGGCCGCATATGGATCTAGACAGCATTAACAGTTAAAATATTGTAAGTAGGGATCTAAACGTTTAGAAATCAACCGACAATATAATAACAATTATTTTGTGCATTACTTGTGGCGATCGAGCTGCAAATTTGTACATTATCCTCCATTTGACTTCACAGTACTGTAAATATGAATGGATATTCTCGCCGTACTCTGTCTCCCACCATTTATCAGTATGCTTTTGATGGTTTGGTGACTAAAAACAAATTTTTAACTCAAGACAATGACAATTTTTTTTTTAAAATCCAATGTAATGACAATAATCATAATTATTATTATGATCATTATTATAATACACTGTGTGTAAAATGTGTACAACGGTACCGGTTCTAATTACGTATTAAACATTAAGCAAGCCGATCTATAATTCATGAAAGCCTCCCAATAAAATACTGTACAGGCACCAGCATAGTGGCCTACAAGGAGATGATCACAATTTTTGAAACTGTTTATAAGTACTGCTATTGTACCAGTGTCGTGAAAATCTTTATTATAATATGAAATGTAATTTTTTTTTTGTTTTCGAAATTATAGTTTACGGTACCCAATTAACTAGATATTTATAATTATGTTTTTGGTTACTATCTATATATATATATTCATCATTTAGTTTGTTCTTTAATAATACAATTTCAAATGCTATTTTAATATTGATTGAACTGTTTTATGATTTTATTCAATCATCTACCCGATGGGTTATCGATTGAATTTTTAAAAATTGCCGTCCACTTGGCACTTTCCTCTTTTAGACGAGGAAATTACCGTCATATTCGTACAAATATTACAACGACCCGATTTTTCGGTTACGACCCTGAACGTATTCGATGCGAACAGACAACAAATAATCGCGTTTCGTTGAAATACTCGCCGAACTGGGCACGCCTGGGCATCGGTGAAAACGGAAAAAGACCGGGGCAGGACGACTATTACACGGGGGGAAGAGGAATAATTGATCGGTTAGGCCAGTTAGGGGGTTGTGAGATCGAATTTGACCGTCGACGGAAAAACCGCGGTCGTTCGCGGTCCGGCCGACCGTGTGGGAGGGCCCGTTCCATGTGCGTGTCGCCAGTGTATCGGCGGTGAAGTCTCCGGGACTACGCATTATGTGGGAACCCCTAGAGCCGGCACGTTATTCTACGTTCTCACCATATTACGGTTTGCGCGGCGGTCGTCCGGTTCCTGAAACAGCGGTCGGGCCCAAAAGCGGATCGGTGGCCGAGCAGACGGGTCGGCGAACGTGCTTTGTCTCGAGCGCTTCGTTCTTACACGGTGTGCTGCGTGGTGTACGCCGAATGAAAAACGCGCGAGAAACCGGCTGCTGTTGCTGTGCGGATAACCACGGAAACGGCGACGGGACTTATTGCTATCGTAACGCGACCGTTTTACTGATGTCGCGCACCCGGTGACGGATTCCGACGGACGAGAGCGGCGAGAAACCGAAAAACACTACGACGTTCCACAACGTGTACTGAACCGCACGGCGCACGTCTGCACCTGCACGCGAAACACCGGCTATCGGCACCGGCCGTCACCCCGTCGCCGGCGGGTTTCCTTCCCCACTCAGAAAAAAAAAAAACCCCAGATCTCCGTGGTCGTATTTTTATTTGTTGTCGAAATATAATACACATTATTGATACGGCGGAACGTTCCGCGGCCGTCGCCGATGATATCGGATAACCGGTCCGATCGACCAGCCCGCGATATTCCGTATTCCGTTCCGGATTTACACCGCGTCCGTTTTATTTCCGTACGACCGTCGTGCAAGCCTCCCGACGTTTCCCGCGGGAAAACCCCCGAGCCGCCAGTTAACCAGTTTCGCGGACCGCGGATCGCAATCGCTTATCGCGGCGAATGCTTTCGGCCGTAAACCGACGAGATAACGAAAATCCCGCGGTCGCGCTAACGATGATATTTGAACGAGCGTTTTTCGCAAAAACATCCGCGTGACGGGAATACCGCCGAATTCGGCGGCCGCGCGTGTCATGGCTCATATTCTCGAATTTCTCCGTGCGCGCGGACCGGCAATTACGTTGCCGTGGTTCAACAACAATAAATCGAAAAACAATCGAACCGCCGTTTCTGTTTCACCGCTCTCGGCCGTTCGAGACCCGTCCGCCCGCCGTCGTCTATTTCCGCGACCCGAACGTAACCGCGCGGCGCGTGTTCGCGCGCCGCCCGGTCGCGGACGCGGAAAACGTCGGATTTCCCGCGTCTGTTACCGTCCGATTTTCGTCTCGCGCACGGACGGCCAACGGTAATTGAATTGCCGTCGAATATTTGCGCGCGCCCAACCTGCGAAAAGGCGCCGACGGTGGCGGGCGCGGGGAAAATCCGTAAGGACGCGCAACAGTAATCGCTGCCGGTGACGGCCGGACATCGGTGGCGCGCGCAGGAGCGGGGGTTAGGGGTTATGCCCCCGTCCCCGTCGGCTCGGAACACAACAGAAATTCAGCGCCGCATAATTCGACCGAATTACGCGGAAGAACTCGACGAGTGTTGATTGGAAAACCTTTTTTTTTTTTTTGCCATCCGGCTTTTAATAATTACCGATTCCCGCAGTCGATTAGTGTCGTGAAGCAATACGAATTCGCGGTTTATTCGCGATACGTCCCCCCCTCCCCCCCCCTTGTTGATAATTCCCGGGCGCGCCACCGGGCCGGACCACGCGGTATTTGTATTGCGTATACGGTCCGCAGAGTGTCCGCGGGTACCGGCGGCCCCGGCCGGTGAATTTCCGATCGCGCGGTATTATTACTTGCACCTGTTGCGTGTAATCGCGGACAAAGCGAAAAACCATTACGGGGCGTGCGTGGCGGCCACATGGCGCGGTCCGACGGGAAAGAGCGACGCGCGCATTTCTTTCCCGCGTCGTGTTATTGGTACGCTAGTAGACCGCACGTTCGGAACAACAGTGGCGTGTTTAGGATTTTACCCGGGGGGCCAGGTGGCAGATATCGAATTTCGTAGAGTTTCGTTTCTTAGATTTTGAACACCGTGTTGCGTGCCGCCGTAGGCTCGCCCAAACGAAGCAAGAAATAATCCGATACGTATATTTTTCGCAAGCATTTTATAATGCAATCTTCGCTAAACACAAACATTGACGTGTTATTGCGTATTGATTGTTATTAATGAGGAATAAGGGGAGAGGAGAAGAACCTTATTCTTTAAAAAATGTTAAAAAGTTTCGGTCGCGTTTCGTTTTTGATGAGGAAATTGACCTATAGTCGAGGTTTTTTTTTTTTTTTTCTAAAACTATTAACTTGGTGCCTACTTGCCAACACATTTTTGATTCGTCCAATCAAAGTAGTAAAGAAATCAGAATTTGAAAAGTTGGCATTCGTTTAAAAACAATAACCACTAAACGAAAATGTCAAGGATGGAGATAATATATGTCCCTGATCTCCTCCCTTAAATACTCCACTGGGGAACAATGTTATTCGCGTCGTACTTAATTGCGTTTTGCGCCAAATTTACGGCGTTCAGTGGCTATTTTTGTGCGCACTACCACACACTTTTTGCGCTACAATTTAAATTGTGCACGGTGTACCTGTCGCCTACTTATTTATAATAGACGATCCACGAGGTTCCGCGGTTGTAAGAAAATTATATATGTTTTTTTTTTTTTTTTAATATTTACAATGTAATCAATCCTCGATAGGATATTTAATCACGCATTATTACTCATTATCTCGGCTAGTATTTACTTTTTAGGCATATTTTTTTTCATGTGCCCGACATTACCGTTATTTACTGCTAATCCGATGTTCGTGGGTAAAACTATTGTTTTTGATTTTTGAATAACGATCTACATTAAAAATTCCATAAATAGATGGCGTGTTTTGGTCGAAGTATATTTTGGTATTGAAATTTTGAATTTCCGTCTACGCCGTCTGTATACCACCGTGTGTATTTGCTCAAATATTACTGTGTATGTGGACCACGAAAAGTCTGAAAAATAGCCGCTGCGACGGCGCAGTTAATGTGTAGTTTACGTTTCCCAATCGAATAAACCGAAAAAACATATTTGCGTTCAGTTTTCTGCGGTGAACGATGCGACGCGGTCGTCGATGATTCCGTCGTATCGTATCGCATCGTATTGTGGAGGTCACGTTCTATTATTACGAATTCGGACTGTATCCACTGTACTTGGGTATTTGGGAAATCCCACGTTGAAATTTCTATAGATATCAATAATAATAATAATAATCGGTCTGAACAAAAACCGATTCTGAGGGAATTTCGATTAATCATATTTGTATGGCCAGAAAATTGCATCAATTTGCGGGTACATGACTTCAAAATTGTTTACAATTATTGAATTTTACTGTCCGTGTTTTTTGGTTTTGAAAATGTTCATAGAACCGACAAAAAAAAATGTGTCCACAGTCGGAAAATAATTGGTGAAATTCTGTTTATGTAAACTGTATAAATAACGTTTTTTTAAAACAAAAATGTGACAACGGATATTCGATATTTAATTAGTGACATCTTATTATGATGAACCGTACAAGTTTCACACCTTGTAACAAATGTTCGAGTATTTTTCAAAAAGAAAAATGGTATCCAAATAAAACTAAAAACTCGAAAATTTCAAACAACTATAAATAGTTCAAAAATCGCCCGATTGATTTCAAAATGTCACCATTTCTGGAAAGGGATTATAAAGTATAAATATTGTGTAAACAATTTTTATTTTTAAGTTATTTCTATTTTCTATTATTTCTAAGTTCTAACTTAATTACTTATCCATCAATTATAAAGATAACTTCAAGAGAAATTAAAATATGACATTGTCAATCCATCAACATGAAAATATTGCTACAAACAAGATTTCAAGATTTCTCTTCGATTGACGTGAAATCATATTTGAGCAAGTTTAAATAAGTTTGAAAAGACAGAAAAAAAAAAACATATTGTAAAATCAATACATTTAGAGCCATTCCTCGCTATACGCTCAAAATCTAAAAACATACGTCATAAAGACATAAGTAACATAAACATGAAATAATAAAAATAAAAATTTAAAAAACTGTCAACGAGATGGGGGAAGGAGGGAACATTGTGCTCTAGCTAGGCCACTGATTGTGACTAAATCCTGTCATGGGCGCTGATAGGAAATTTATCAGGGAGAGGCATAATAAAATTACACCAAAAAATACTAAAAATAAAATTATATTTGAAATTTCTAAGTCCAAGGGTGGGCAGATGCCCCGTTTTTCCCCCTCCGAGGGCGCCCCTGCATTCAGTATAGTATTTCATGGGCATGTAATGGCATCAAGGGTCCTCATAAGTACTTTTTTTTTATACCGATTCCCCTCAAACTACCAATAGTTAAATGTACCGGTTACCCTCGAAATATTATTATATATATGACCATAATATCGTTACCATACCTGACGTATAATAGAATAGGTAAATATTTGACATAATTTGTAACGTATTAAATAGCGAAAGAAAAAACAATATATATTAAAACAATAAATACAATATTTTTAATAATAAGTCGTATACACTGTAATTTGTCAGGAAAAAAAAATTTGGTCTTTCTACGGAAATTTGTTTTTTTTTTTTTTCCGTTACAAACCCCTACTCGACGTGATTTTGCTAACTAATCGGAATTTATTTAGTTCGCACACGAGTTGGTGAATGAAGCTAGTCACGTTTATTACACAATTTAAAATTCTTCCAAAAATATATATTTTGAAGATTAACCTGATTATATTCAATATTTATCATCAGTTATGATTGCATGATTTTGGTTAATGGTAACCGATATGATTGTGATTATTACAAATAATATTCATTGATAATCGAAAAAAGTACTGGCTGGATATATAATCGTTACTTAATCAATAACCAAACATCATAGCCGTTCATTTCGTTTGGTTATACAATATTTCAGCAAACTATAACCGAAAACGCCAAAACGACTTGTTTGTAAAATACAGTAACCCGGTTACATTTGATCACGCGCTAAAACGCCTTTTTTATTCCGTGTTAATGTATTCTACACGTCGAGCAAAACTGGTACATTTAGTTGAGGGCAACTGGTAGATACATTGGTTTGAGGGCAACTGGTAGATACATTGGTTTGAGGGCAACTGGTACATTATTTAAATGTTGAAAATAACCACTGAGGGCAACTGGTC